AGATGGATAGTTTGGTCGATTTGTGTGAGGGCTGTGATACTGCCCAGGTGCCCAAACTGAAACAGGTGGTTTTTTTAGGGGGCCACACCCCGAGCCTTTGACCTAAAGGTGTGGTTCACAAGGCAGTAGAACAACGTCAAGAGATGCAGTGTCATGATAGCCGGTGACCAACGATTGATTCATACGCCATTTGTTTCCTCATGATACTGGAGCGCATGTGCACCATTGGTTTGGAATCAGGGTTTTCCAACTTTTCTGGGTAGACCCTCCGTATCCACTAACCCGGTTAGAGCGCTAGACATTCGTTTTTCATCCTATTAATTTCGCAAACAACAATAATGCCACGAGAAGGCAGTAAGTAGGACTTCTTTCGCAGTGGCTGTATACGCGTGGCCATGTGAAAGCATTTCGAGAGAGGGGGTGAACCCTCCTCACTCTCAACCATACCAGAGCATTTGGGAGCCTAAGGAATCATTTTTCAATCATGTAATTGTATTTTATTTTTGAAAAAAATATCCAAATAACTTTATTTTGAAATACAAATAAACAATGAAAATTATGTGTCTTTTGTAAAAAGTAATTAGCACATTATAAACACTGTTTATTTCTTTCCATTTCAAGAACTATGATAATAATGTTTTCTGGATAGGACAAAAGGTGGTTGATAGAAGACAAAGATTTCCTGCTTAAGGGAAGAGACACGAACACAAACAGAATTAGTTATACTGTGAAGATGATTAGTCAATCACAAGCACCACAGAACCTGGTATATATATGCATCAGTTCAAGTATACACAACATATCAGCACAAAGACCCTATGAATTTGTCAAAGTAGTCATTGGATTTACATGCTACTGTCCTGTCGAATTAGGCACTAACGTAAATTAGACATAGACTGTTACGTCATTTTTTTATAAAAGCGAGGAATTCTATTTCTCATAGTTACAAAGAAAATATCATATGCTTACATAATCTAAAAATAAACTTTACTGAATGGTGAAAGGAATATAATTACGAACATATAAATTATGCGTTACCTTAACTGATATTATCTTATGTGTGTAGTTATGTATTAATCAAGCGGATATTTACTAGGAATCGTAGCGCATATAAAACGACTAGACTGTGATATATTATTACTATTTAAACATAAATATTGGTAAAACGGGGCACCAGATATATATGCGCCACACAAATATCATTTGATTTGTGTGAGTGCTGTGATACTACCCAGCTGCCCAAACTGAAACAGATGGTTTTCTTAAAGGAACACACCCGGAGCCTTCGACCTAAAGGTCTGATCCACGAGGCGATGGACCATTGTGAGGAGATGCAGTCTCATGGTATCCAGTGACCAATGATTGATTCATACGACATTTGTTCCCTCAGGATACTGGAGCCTATGTGCACCATTGGTTTGGAATCAGGGTTTTCCAACTCTCCTAGATGGACTTTTCGTGTCCACCAACCCTGTTAAAGCGCCGGACATTCGCTTTTCATCCTCTCAGTTTCGTAAACAACACTCAGTCAGTAGGGCTTCCCTGGCAGAGGCTAAATACGCGTGGCCATGTGAGGGCATTTCGAGAAGGAGAGCGGACTCTACCCACCCTCATCCGTACCAGGGCATTTGGGGGCACTGTAAGATATATATATATATCTGGTGGATTATAAAGCATGATTCAGCTACTTCGTCTGAAAATTTAAAAACAAAATAATATCTAAAAAATTAAAATCTAAATTTAAGTACGACAAATGCATGGCTTATTGAAATGAACTAATTATTAAGTGAATTTGAGAGAGTCATTGTTACAGTTATATGTATTCTCGTTCTGTTGAAATAGGTTTCACAGCATTACTTTAGATGCTTTGAAGAAATATATAGCTAATCTTACAACAATATTTCACATAAATGTTTGGGATTACTGAAATATTGAAGGAATTTACATCTTCAATGAGATCGCAATTCATATATTTCGACGAATAAATAGCTTTAGTTATAATCAACCAATTTTACAACTGACCGAAGTATGATAAGTGGAGTGGCACAAATGAGTGGACATCTTGACTTAGTGGTTAAGTGGATGATATGATGAGATTCGAGACAAACGGTACTGCATTCGAGTCCCGGAGTGATCATCAACTCAGATGTAAATACATCCAGCTGACAAGTCCAAAATAGGGCGAAATGTACTTTATGGATTCCAATACTTGCTACATTCCACCTATTCTATGTCAAATGATATCATTTTTTTATTTTTAATAAATTCATATTCAAAAGGTCTTTCCGAATTTCACTCAGAGATTACATCAAAATATTCTACATATTTATGAACTGTTACTTTTTTGAAAGTTTTATAGCAGATAATATTCTCACATCGCCATGTGTATATAGCCTCTGTCAGGGAAGTCTTACTTACTATCCTCCCGTGGCATAATTCTTGTTTACTAAATTGAAAGAATGAAAAGCGAATGTCCGTCGCTTTAACAGGGTTGGTGGACAGGGAAATTTTACCTAGGGGATTTTGAAAACCCATGTACAACGAAAACTAGAGCGGCTTATGCCAATCTGTGGCATTTTTGTGATGTAAGTCTAGGTGTGAAAGGTCGAGTTTGTGATGAGAACAGTTTTGCTTTACATATGTAAAATCTGGCATATCCAAGTTGAGGATGTTAAGCGTTCCCCCGTATAAACATCGTTGTCTCCGAAGGATTACCGACATCCAGTGGAAATGCAGAGGATCAGCAACGTGTTTAGGCACAGCGACGATGATTCAATTGATGTCAACATCTTGAAACACTGACTTTGGTGGCTTAGATATGTACTACGAATATCGTCCAAGCTAATTGCGCATCGTTTTCAAAAGGTGAGGTTGGTTGGGAAAGGCGGTTGGGTGGCCAGTATGTGACATGATTTAGTAGTATAATAAAAAGCCGCGAGGGACTGGCTTTTGTTAGTCCTTCATTGCCCCCGGGTTGAGGTCCTAGAAATGGTGTCACACAGTCTTGAAGAGTTACCAGACATGAAACAGAGTAGAAGCCAGTGGCAATTCTGCTGTAATTTTCTTTTACTTTCTTTATAAATGTGGGAGTAACTTCTTCAAATGAAAGAATTTTTTATGGCCGTATTATTGCGAAATGATCCTTTTATGCCATAATAATAATTACCATTAGTTTACTTTTATTTCACTCTTATTTACTAATTCATATTCATCTTTGTTCTTTTTTCAAATTATACGTTCTTTATCTCTTCATAATCCCATTTTTATTGTGTGACGCATATATATTTAAGTGCTTACTTGTCCTAATATTTGTATTCAAACAAATAAACAATCCAATCAGTCGCGCCAACACCAACACTAACAAAAGCACGCAGATATACAAACTTTTCGGTTATTCATAACGGTTAGCAGAAGAGCAAGCCTAAGAAAAGCTGAACTTACTTACACCTGTTTTCCCTCATGGAGCACAGGCTACCAACCAAGATTCTCCAATTAACCCTGTCCTAGGAAATTACTTCCAGTTATTTCTAATTGCTATTCATTCTTCGTTTTGACTGTATCTCCCCTTAATTTGATTTTTAGTTCCGTATTTATCTATGATTTTTTTATCGATTGGTTGATCGATTGAATCAGTTTCAATATGTTTGTTAATTGTTCATTGACCAAGCTTCTGAAAATTCATTGGTGTATTTAGCATTCACTCTATCCAGGATTTCAACAACTTTTCAGTGGAATATGTGTGCACAAGCATTATTATAGTTAAGGTATATCATGGCTTTTGACTGCTAACTGATTTCCGTGCAAGCAAAGACGAAAGAGGCGTGCTCTTTGTACGATGTAGTGTTCCACGCAAGCACTAACTAGCTAAAGCCTGTTACTCCTTGTGGAGGAGTATAAGCCGCTCACCTGAATTCTTCATGAGACTCTGTCTTGAGCAAACCTCTCCAGTTGTTTCCAATTACTAACCACTCTTTCGATGTCTGCCTCTAATTCCCAGCGTGATTATTTCTCTTCTTTCCCTTCTCCTCCCAGGATTCCAGGCTAGGGACTGTCTCGTGGTGCAGTTCGATGGCTTTCTCAATGTATGTTTTACCCATCTCCAGCATCTCTCCCTAATTTTCTCTTCAGCTGGGATTTGGTTTGTTTTCTCCCACAGTAGGCTGTTGCTGTTGGTATCCAGCCAACGGACATTCAGCATTATGTACATACAATTGTTTATAAATACTTGTACCTTTTTGATGATGGTCGTAGTAGTTCTCTAAATTTCAACGTATGAATTGGGGATGATGTTGAAGATATTCTTAGGTACACTATAATATCGAAGAAGGTTCCATATGGTTCTCTAATCCACACTGTCGAACACTTTTTCGTAGTCAAGGAAGTTGGTGTATAGTGACGAATTCCATTCAGCTGATTGCTCAACAATCATCCGTAATGTCTTGATTTGGTCTGTACACGACGAATCTTCACGGAATTCAGCCTGTCGATATCGAACTTAAGCGTCCACAGAATATTTCATTCGGTGCAACAACATTCTGTTGAAAACGTTTCCTGGCAGATAGTAGTGTGGTACCACCTTAATCCTCACACGAGAAAATGATAACAAATACGTGGCTAATGAAAATTCAACGAGTTACATGAAAGCAGTCTTTTTTTCATCTAAAAGCTGTACTACATCATACTCTGAGTTCATCATTATTAAAAAAAAGTTAATTTAATCTCCCTGATTAAGTGCAGATATGGGGGTTTATGACGAAAAAACCTGACGTGTAAGACAATTTTAACACTATCACTGCTTTTTACTTTTTCCTGCATAATAATGTCGCTTAATTAATGATCTGAAGCACACTGGTAAGTCCCAGCAACAAAACACCAGTTAGCAGCTAATTGATCTCATACGGTGACTTTCACGCTGAATGAAGAACATATTAAATACTCAGGACACGACTAATTACATAACTTATGGAAATGTATTAAAAATACGTTCAGGAAAAACTTACATTCCATAGCTTCAAAAACTCTTCTTGTGTTCACTAGAACACTTTTAACCTTTTTGTTTGCAGTTTTTAAGTCTGTCTCATGGTCTGATAAAGCCTTTCGGAAATTTGGGCTGTCCACAACACAATCACGAAACTCAAGAGGGCTCAACACAGGCATTGCACATAGATGCACACGACCTTCAAATTGTATAAGTGCAAGGTCATACGTACGTAAAACTGGAGGTTTCAAACCTTTCTGAACACGGTTATTATCTAGTCAGTTCCTTGAAATCTGTGCCTGAAAGATTGTAGCATGTTACTGTTCATGTCGACAGATTTGGAAAATCACGACTGAAAGTACTGAGGATACCACGGATATTCTAGTTTCGCAACTAGCAACCAGTAATATCTTCTATAATCGTTCTTTCCCAGTCGAATAGAAAACAGAAGTCAGACGAGGAAAGGTAGGAAAGATATATTTGATGCGTTACCAATATATCGGGGAACCTTTACTATAAGCTGGCTAATGAACGTAGGAGCTGTGTCCCACGCCGTGTTGCAACGTGATCTGGTGCTGATGCATTACTGAAAGCCTTCAGTTAAACAAGTCCGGGAAAAAACTAAACTAATACACTTACAAACAGCTTGAAAGCGATCGGAAAAAAAGGTTTTTTTAGGTTTTTTATAAAAAGATATATATATACGCTCAAAAAAATGTTTTGTTTTGTTTTTTATATAAATAAACAAAATGAGCATATTAAAATTTTTTTATAATAAACTATGAAAGGGTAATTCAAGATAAAGCTTATGTCCCACGTGCAATATTCGTTAAGATGTTCTGGAAATCTTACTCGTCTTCCAGAACGCATTGTCATAGGTTTATCTATCGACGTTGACGAAGTATCAAGTTGTGTGTCGGTTGTCGTGTAGGGTACTACGAGTGTAGTGGGTGTGTCGTTTGCTTGTACCGAAGGGAAATCGACGTAACTAGGGTTTCCTTCTAAGTACGCTGCTTTGAGTCGGTCGATACTGATGCTATCGTTCGTACCGTTCTTATCGACTACATAATACTTAGGTTCGCGTTGAAGAACTTTGAAGGGTCCTTCGTATGCTGATTCGAGGGGTCGTCGATGTGAGTCTCGACGAACGAAGACGTGTGTACTATGTCGTAATTCGGGTTGAACGAAAACATCAGTTGATTGAGGTCGAGTGTGAGCAGGTTTAACTGAACGCATAGCGTTTGTAAGCCTACTCGTGTAAGAGTTTAGATCCATGTTCAATGAAGAAGCTGAAGGATCCACGAATTCTCCTGGGGGTCGGAGTGTCGTTCCGTAAACAAGTTGAGATGCCGTGTATCCAATGTCAGCTTTCACTGCACTGCGGATACCTAGCAAGACGAGTGGAAGAGCGTCTGTCCACTGTGAAACGTTTGAAGATGATAATGAAGCTTTTAGTTGTCGATGAAAACGTTCTACCAACCAGTTTGCTTGTGGGTGGTAGGCGGTCGTTCGGAAGCGCGTGATTGCTAAAAGTGTGGTCAGACAACGGAAAAGTCCAGAATCGAACTGGCGTCCGCGGTCTGTAGTGATGGTTGAGGGGCAGCCGAAATTTGCTAACCATCGTTCGACGAAAGCGGGGGCCACGGTTTCAGAAGTAATGTCCTTAATCGGTACTGCTTCTGGCCATCGAGTAAAACGGTCTACGCATGTTAGGAGATATGAGTATCTATTCGAGTCGGGTAATGGTCCTACCAAATCTAGATGGACGTGGTCGAAATGAGCGTCAGGGTTTTGAAAGAGCCTAAGGGACATTTGTTGTGTCTACTGACCTTAGATTTCTGACAGCTCACACAGGAGCGTGCCCACTCCCTCACGTCTTTATTCATGCCAGGGGCCAACAAAAGCGTTCGGCTATAATTTTGACTGTTGCACGAGCACCTGGATAAGAAAGATTGTGCAACGTATTGAAGACGTTGCGTCGATAATGTTTTGGTACTATTGGACGATCGCTACCTGTAGATGTGTCACAGAGTAAGGTTTCCTTTCCTGTTCCCATCTGCTTAATACTTAGTTTAAGAGTTGTCGAAGATAACTCATGCTGAAGATCAATGTCCACGATTACATTGTTAGCTCCAGAAATGTGTTGTATGTCTGAAGTAAACTGCGAAATGTAGTCGAGTTGTCGAGACTCTCGTGGTGAGTCTTGTCTGAAGATGAACTTAAGGAGAAGGTAAGAGGTTTGTGATCGGTAAAAAGCGTGAATTCTCTTCCTTCGATGGAATGTTGGAAATGCCGTACAGCACAATACATAGCTAGGAGTTCCCTACCGAAAGTGCTGTACCTAGATTCCGCGTCTAACAACCGTCTGGAGAAAAATACTAAAGGTTGCCACGAGTTGTTAACCCATTGTTGCAAGATTCCTCCGATTGCTGAGTCGGATGCGTCTACGGCGATACTAATGGGCGCTTGAGTGTCCTGATGAGCAAGCAAGGTTGCTTTAGCGATGTGTTCCTTAACTGTGGAGAATGCTTTACGGGCTATGTCGTCTAGACAATGATTTTTCTCTTTTGACGTAGTAAAGTAGACTTTAAGACTGTCTAATCTGAAGGTGATAAATTTTAATTTCTATCGGTAGAATTAGTGGAATTAAGTGTATATCCCTTAATTTTATAGTCGATATGCCTTTAATTATCGAGATGTGTACAATATCTAGTGAGCGAATGCTGTATATGAGAAAATGATTTCCAATGAAGGTCTCACTTAAAGCTTTGACTTCTACTGTATATGCACTCGTTGTTTCGTACAGTGATAACTATTAACTTCGATCGCCGTCGCTCGGATTTATTCTCACGCGCACTGATGAAAAGGAGAGTCAATGTAATCTAGGTGTTAGATCAGTTTATGGAAATGATGGGAGACGTTTGTCATGCAGTGTGCGCCAATCGAGATTGCTCCAGTTCGAACAACTCATAGACAAACCAATATAGGCCTTTTCGGCTTTCCTGTTTGCCGTGCTTATAATAAAAAGGCAGATGAATGCCGACTAAAAACGCTGTACTTGTACCAGTTATGGTATTTTAAAAGGACCTCTCTATGTCTCTTTGTAATGCTTACAATTCAGTTTTTTTTAGATTCGTTCATATTTTAGAGTCATCTGTTAGAAAAATCAAGGACTGAGTCGGTATCTGAATCTGTTGTCGGTCAATGGAAAGGCTAACTGGGCATCAGCTTCCATTAATTAGTTACTAACACTGGGTAACAACATGAATCATAGTGTTGAGTCATTGCATCGTCAATTTTAAAAATATGCACTGAAAAGTGAGCTTTGAGGTGCTTAATAAACACAGATGTTTATTACCACTGTCTGGTAATGTAAACTATATTTTAACTCAATGTTAGGACTTGTTTTCCTGGATTCCTTCAGTTGTAGACTTTATAATCTCTTTTGATTCCATCTGAAACGGTACTGTCTGTATTTTGTTGTGCTTTTTCACCGAATCCCCATTTTTCCATGAACCACATCTATGCTGTTTTAGTCAATGTTTAATTATGGCGGTTGAGATATTGATTCGCTCCTCTCCTTGATTTTGTTGCTTGCACTGACTGTAATTGTGCACTTTTGACGGTAAATTGAAGTACTCTTTCAAAATTGGGAACACTAAATGTTATAATGAAGTTAAATATTATTTTTCAAACAATCTGTACGTGATCTATCGAGAAAGGATGGAATAACGTTTATTTATTGGTATTTCCCTTACCTTCTTCGTAATAAAAGTCATTGAATGTAATAACAACATATTTTCAAATAACAATATAATAATAATAATAATATATTCTGAAAACAATATTTACAGAATTCACACCAGTTTACAGGCATGATCAGATTGTTATAAAAATCAACATTTAATGTAGAGAACAAACATGAAATATAAGAAAGTTTTATGTTTGCTGGTTTAGTAATTGATAAATAGTTTAAATATGGCATGTGTCACGGCAAGCCAATGCAACACCAGGGAACTTGTCATTTTTTTAATAAGTGGATAGCCTGATGATTGATCAACATTGTTCTGTAAGGTTATTTCCAGCGCCAGAGCGAGTTATTATTAATTATCTACAACATGCAACAAATCACAAGAGTAAAACCGTGACGGTCAACGGATCCGAAGTATTTTGAGTAAACAACTGTTAATAAACATTTGTTTCTTTTGTATGATGGCTTTCGTAGTTGCCCAAGTTTCTGCCCCATAAAGTAGAACTGTCTTGATCTTTGTATTGAAAATTCTGAGTTTGGTGTTGGTTGACGATTGCTTTGAGTTTCAATGTTCTTCAGTTGTAGATATGCTGCTCTCGCTTTGCCGATCCGCACCTTCACATCTACATCAGATCCACCGTGCTCACTAATGATGCTGCCAAAATATGTAAAGGTTTTTACATCCTCCGTCAAATGTGATTTGATTGGTGCATGCTGTGTTTTATCGAAGAGTCTTGCTTTTCCATTTGTGTATGTTGAGACCTACTGTTGCTTAGGCTGCTGTTACACTGGTCGTCTTTTCCTGCATTTATTGTTGCATGTGTGATAGAGGATTCAGATCATCTGCGAAATCTAGATCGTCCACCTGCATCCTAACTGTCCATTGTATCCCGTGCTTCCCCCCAGATGTTGGCGTCTTCATGCCCCAGTCAATCACCAGGAGAATGATAAAGGGTGAGAGTAAGCAACCTTGCCTAACGCTGGTCTTTACCTCGAATGAGTCGGTGAGTTGTCCTCCATAGACGATTAGGCAGTTTAGTCCATCATAGGAGTTCCGTATGATATTGACTATCTTCTCAGCACTCCGTAGTGTTGAAGAAGCCTTCATAGTATTGTCCTGTTCACTCCACCAAATGCTTTCTCGTAGTCAATGAAGTTGATGTAGATTGATGAATTCCATTCAATGTTCCATATGTGTTTTTGGTGGCGTATCACGAGGGTGCTGAAAAGGCGAGTAAAAAAGAAGCAAATTAGAAGCAAAGCAGACAATGTTCATGAACACCGAAGTTAATTCATTAGTGATGAAATAAGTAAGGTATGACTACTTAGACTTATTCTCTTTTGTTAAGTCCATTTTTAAGGGAGAGCATTTTAATAGGTTAAAGAAAATAAGCTTAAGTATGGCGGCGAGTGGACAAATGGTTTCATAAATGAAAGTGATTGGGAAACAATTTGGGAAAGCATGGT